GGTCGGGTTGACTCGGACCCGAAGCGGGTTGGGTTCGGGTCCGGAAAACCGACCCGTTTACAGAAACGGGTTGGGTTCGGGTTGACCCGAATAGTACCGAGTCAGTTTCGGGTTTGACCCGAACCCGACCCATGCCCGAAATTGACACCCCTAGGTGTGGGTAGGACTGATCGGTTAGAGGTCAACACCTCCCAATGATCCGGTTAGAAAAGTAGATGTATTAGACCCGGTCTATGACTAATTATAAAGCAAAATAACAAAGACATGTATGTCTAACACATGTGGAAGAAGGGAGCATCAATGATCACCCATTGAGCTCTACAAAAAAGATTTAGAAAAGCTAAAGAATTTGTTAGCATTAATGGAAAAATATCTATAATAGGTGCTTGTACTCTTGCATTCTCAAGTATTACATCTGCTTCTCATGCTTTAAAGCCTCAAAGATGTATATTTCTATCTCCTAGATCATTAATTCAAGAGTTCTAGGTAATATGATCAACTCCCAAGAATTTATTTCATATACTCATTATTCTAGTAATAAAAAAATAACCATTAGTTATGGATCCTTAACAGTGGCCTAAACAAATGCCTCACTCAAAACTATCCTCCATGTACCTATATTATTTACCACTTGTTAATTATTCAAAATTGACTAAAGATTGTAAGTGCAACAATGATTAATCCTTCATATTTGTCTTTCAAGCACAGGGCACGAGAAGAGCAATTAAACTTGCTCAAGAAAGGAAAGGTCTCTATATCTTAGGAATCCAATAGTCAAAAAAGCTCCATACAACCTTCAATATTATATCTTCCTTCAAAAGTCTGGGCACAAAAAAAATCTTGCTTCAACACTACTACTTAGTCACCCATCCTTTATTGTTCTCAATACTATGTTTCCTTCATATTCAAAGAAATCAATATTAAAGAATTTTATTGTGATATTTATGAATATGCAAAACACGTCAATTTTGCAATAACAAACATAACAAACTTTATTACTCTATCTCAAATCCACAATAACATATGGGGATCCTCCTCCTAGGGGTGTCAATTTTTGACACGACCTGAAACCCGACCCGAACTCAACCCAGAAAAATCCGGATTAGGGTCAACCCAGACCTGAAACAGGTCGGATTCGGGTTCAACAAATCAACCCATTTTAAAAATCGGGTCAGGTTTAGGTTGACCCAGCAACCCGAACCCGACCCGAAATTGAATCGAAATTGACACGAAAACTCGTATTTGACCCGAAAACCTGAGATTGACCCGTTTTTTTTACCTATTTTGGACCCGAAAATCGAAGATTGACCCAATTTTTTGACCCGAAAACTAGCAATTTTGGGTCAACCCCGGGTCATTCGTGTCGGGTCGGGTTGAACCGAACTCGAATCAGGTCAGGTTCGGGTCCGAAAACCTGACCCATTTTTAAAAACGGGTCGGATTTGGGTTGACCCGAATAGTGTCGTGTCAGTTCCGGGTTCGACCCGAACCCGACCCGTTGACCCAAATTGACACCCCTACATCCTCCATAGCTAACATCTCACGGGCTTGATAGTTTGTATCTTTTATATATCGATGATTGTGCTTGTGTGCCATGGATCTTCAACTAAAAACAAAAAATGATATATCATCTTTCCCGCCTTTTATAATATGATCAAAAATCAATTTGATGCTGAAAAAAATTGAGTTAGATCTGACAATGCCAATGACTAATTTAAGCACTCTATCCGTTCATATTTCCGATCAAAAAATAATACATGAGTCATCTCATGCGCATGAATCCCAACAAAATAGAGTGGCTAAATGAAATAACAACTATTTATATGTTACAAGGGCTCTCTTTTTTCAAAAGAATATTTCAAAAAAGTAACGGGGGAAGTTATTTTAATAGCTGCTCACATAACAAACCAGTTACCTATAAGGATTCTTGAGTTCAAAAGTCATCTATAAGACTTAGTCAAGTTTTTTCCTCCCTTCAACATCTTAAATAATCTTATTCTCAAAATATTTGGCAGCATTATCTCATTTCATGCACATTCTCAAATAAAGCTAAGCTTGATCCATGGGCTATTAATTATCTTCCTGAATATTGTCCCACACGTAAGGGTACAAATGTTATTACCCGCTCAAAACCTGTATATGCAATAATATCACCTTAAGAAAATAACACTACTTTATCAATAGTTAACCTCAGAAAAAATATCATTCACAAATGATAAACATCATTTTTTCTCCTGGATTGCCTTCATTGCATTCATCCCAGCAAGCAACTTTATTCCATAATAAACTTCTACCCAAATCGAGCCTATATATCAAAACCATTTTTTTCTCTCCCATTATAGTTTGAATTAAGAAGAAATGCATCAATCCTTTAATCTATGTAACATTCAATTGAATCAATTTCTCACTAAATCCACTATGATAACTATTAAACCTTCACCTAAAAGGAGAATTAGTAATAAAAGTACAAGAATATCCACTGAAGATCCTCTATATTTATTTTTATCATACATAAATCTTTCTCATAATCACCAAATCTTCTTTGCTAGCTTGTATACTACTTTATCCCTAGGACAATCTCTGAGGCATTACATAATGAGAATTAGAACAATGATCTGAAGTTGAAAAATGGAAGCACTTAAAAAATATAAACATAAAAATTGATAAAGTTACTATAAGAAGAAAAAACAAAAAATCAATGGAATGTCGATAAGTCTTTAAAGTAAACTAAAAATAAGATGGTTCACTAAAAAGGTATAAAGGTAGATTGGTTGTCAAATACTACATTCAAATATTTGATATTGACTACATTGAAACCTTTGCTTAGGTTGCTAAAATCAACACTATTTGAGTTTTTTTTTTTATCATTAGCATCTAGTATGGACCGAAAAATCAACTCAAAGTTAAAATTGCTTCTTATATGGTGACTTGGATGAGGTAGTGCATAAGGAGATAATACCAAAATTTGGTTCAAATATAGAACAAAATGTGTAAGCTAAAAAAGTCAATTAATAGGTTGAAGTAGGGATGTCAATAAATGACTCGACTAAACAAACCAACCCAAATCCGACTAAAAATTTTTTGGTTTCATTGACTCGATTAATTTTCAAGTCATGTTAGGGTCGACAAAAAAATTCGAAATTGACCTAATTATTATTGGGGTTTGGATTAAACATGTCATGTTCATATTGAAAAAGATATATTCAAATTAAACATGTCACATTTGGATGAAACGAATCATATTGATCTTAAAAATTGCATGATCTATATGATAAATGGGCCAAACGACAGACTCGGATTAGTCAGATTTGGGTCAAAAAAATTAATCTGCATGATAAATGGATTGGGTTTGGGTTGTGCATATTCAATTCGTGTCAATTTCAGGCAGACCCGAACCCAACTTGCCAATTAGAATTGACACCCCTAGATTACAATAATCTTGAAGAGCCTAGTTCAGAAGGTTCACCAAAATAATGTTCAACATAAAATATACATAAAGTCAATGAGACTAAACATTATTTACAAAGCATATTATTCAAAGAATTATGCAAGCTAAAGTATTTTCTTAGCATTGGGGTTGCACACTCTTAGCAGAAAATCTTTACATCACAAAAAAATACAAATAGACTCATTGAAAGCTATATGTAAGTTGGGAAGCAAACTTATCAAGAGTCCTATGAAGTTCAATTATCAATTTAGAGATCCTTCGAAAATAAGAGCAACAAAACATCTCCAATTAAAACTTGTGGGAAGACTTATCAATTTATCTACTTATCACTTATTAAACCCGACATTTCCTAAATTGTTAATATTGTTAGTCAATACATGCACAATCCTAAAGAAGAGTATCTTAGGATAATGTAAGAGATTCTATTTAAATTTGCAGAGAGCCCCGCACAAAAGAATGATATTACAAAAGGGTAAGGATCTGATTCTTAACATATACACTAATGCAGTTTATGGGGTTCTATGATTGACCGGAGATCAACTTTAGGATATTGCACATTCTTAAGAGGCAATCATATTGACTTGCAGGATTTAAAAATAAAATATGATAGTTAGATCTACTGAAAAAGCTGAATCTATATCTATAGCATTGAGAATCTGCAAATTGCTACTACTAAAAATTATCCTAAACGATATAAAGATTGAATGAAAAAATCCTATGGGATTTTATTATGATAACTAGCCAGCCATCAATATTGCACGTAATCTCATACAATATGACCAAATAGTATATTGAAGTTATGAAGGGAAAGCTTGACAGTGTACTAACTTGTACTCCATTCATAATCACACGTGAATAATCTGTCGACATACTCACCAAAAAATTATCAAGGGCAACCTTTCAAAAATTATCAGACAAGCTTGAAATGGATGATAGCAATTCATTCACTTAAAAGGGTGTAAAAATATCCTTAGATTCCCAATCAAGCGTGGGACCTACATAGCCTTTAATCCACCTTTATATTTCACTCACAATAGGCTTAGACTATGACCTCTTAGCCTCCTCCTACGTTGTTAACTCAATCTAAGCCTTCCTGGATCCAAAGCATCTGCACCAGCCTCCTCCCTGCCTCCTCACAGATTCGTGGGTTCCATGCAGCCACATCACAAATCGATGGGAGCTACTCACTTGTACAAGAAAACATCTATGAGCAATTCTATTATAATTATTATGTAATTAATTCCTTTTAGTCTATGATTTTATATGTTTTATATTAGAATCTTTTTTAGGATTATACAAATTCTGCACAAGTGTTGAAAGGAAATAAACTTAACTATTCTCCAATTCTAGTCAGAAAAATAATAAAAATACTCATTCACCACAATTTCAAAGAAATCTAAATAAAATACACCTATGCACTGAAATTATGCATGAAAAAATAATTGAAGTGCTTATTCATTGAACTTTCAAAAGAAATCTAAAAAAATGCACCAATGCAAGGTGAATAATTCACTATTACATGAAAAAAGCAAGGTTTGCTAGCATAGCATACCTGTTGATCAACAAAAACCCTTGGTGGAGTGCACCATACGCCTTTATACTGCAGGCCTAGCGAGCTTCCACCACTAAAACCAGTTGTTGCTGAATTAGTTGGAGAATAAAGAGCATTCTGGCCTTCTTCATCCACTGATGCTGGAGGTGCCTCACTCATAGCTCTCATTGCCACGACATACTCATAGGTAGTAATCCCCTACACAGATAGGAGGAAAAAATTGGAACGGAGTAATTGATACCAACTGTGAGTAAAAATATATGTTTCTTGAGACCTGACCTTCTTTATAAGTATCATGTGGAAAAAGAATAGTTCTCCCAATGGCACACAAGCCAATAATGAAACAGCAGTACATACTGCCTGCATTTACGAAGCTCCATGTCAAACTAATAGTAAGGGCAATCCTCTGAATGAAAAAGGAAGAGAATGAAAAGGGAAGAGAATCTTAAAGTCCAAAAAAGAATTTGTTAGTATAATAACCACGAAACAATAAATAAATAAAAAGCGATGCCAGTAGCAATAGTATCATGGTTTAGAAAATTCAAAGGTAATAAGGCAATATAAATGACAAGGTGAAAACCAGGCAATATAAAATAACAAGGTATGCGATCGGTAAGATTTTGATAATGTCGGACGAGTGTAACAGCAGTTACTACTTAGATGCTCCACCTAAGAAAATTAAAAAAAAAAAAAAAAGCACTGAAGAGATGTATCAAGAATTGAAAAAAAGATGCACAAGATTTATAGATTTATTGAATCCATCAAAACAACAGTAGTAACATCTTAATTACGAAGATAGAGCATACACAAGCTTCTAAGAGATTCTAGTACCAGCATACTTTCTGTTTCTACATCACTTAATAAAATAGAGCACTAATATAAGCAATAGAGGCGGCACTGAAAGTCAAATTAAGAGGCCCAATGACTACTAATAACATTCTCTTAATAAGCAAATGAAAATCAATTTTTCATTCTATCAAGGACTCCGGTGAGGGACTGATGGCTGCACCATTAGTGCAAGATTTTCAGGCCAAGTCATTTTAACTTTGACCTGATAATTTAAGTTTGACTTGGGAATCATCCTTGACCACTTCATTCTATTAAGAATTGAATGTGCTGTGAAGTTTAGCTTGCAAATCTTTATTAGCCACTTTTAACAAGTTTTCTAAGTTTTGCAACTTTTCCTTCAAACGCCTTTCATGTTGATTCTAGCCACCTGCCATTCTGTGCCCATTTTGTTCCCTCATATTCACATCTAAATCACAAATATTTTTTGCCACTAATCCTATTCCATAACTGAACTGACTGGATGCGATGAAAATGGCGGACAATGAATGTGGTGTCGTGCAAGATAAGTTTAAGATGGCCTGACATGCATTGTGCATATAAAAAATCACTCATATTGTTGTTTGTTACAAAAATAGACTGAGAAAAGGATCAAAATGATCCACTGGCTCTTTATGAAGAACCAAAATTATCCTCAAATATTTTAAATGATCATTTTGATCTCTCAAATCTTTAAAATATCATAATAAAGAAATTTATTTTAGAAAATAACAATAATTAAGTTGTGAATTTTTTAGTAAAAGATTAGTAGCTAATAAATATATACATAGAGAGAGAATGCGCATAAATTTTATAAATACACGGGAGATTTTATTTAATTAAATTATTATAAGTAATAAATAAATTCTTTTGAAATAAATTAAAATTTGAAAATAAAAAGGATATTTTACTAAAAAGAGACATCATTAAATATATTATGTCAAAAATAAAATTTTATCTGTGACAGCTAAAAAGTCGCTTTTAATTTTCCCGACAAATAATTTTCATCATAATTGTTAAGGGAAAAATGTTAACCCTCAATTACATGTAATGACATTAATTGTTATTATAAATATTACGGGCTAGAATATTGGCTGCGGTCATGAGCGGAACCAGCTCCAATTTTGAGGGGGACAATTTTAATATAAAAATAATTAAATATTAAAAATATTATGTAATATATATAATATTATGAAAAGTTGTTTTAAAATTTTTTAGCTTTATATTTGATCTAAAAATTTTTTTTAGCTTCCAAATGCAAACTAAATGCCTATCAAGATCTTCATTTTTAGCCACAAAAAAAAGCAAAATATATATATATATATATATTGCAAGAACATGAAACAAATATATATAATTGATATTCTTAATCAACTCCTTTTTTGTGCACTAATTAACTCACTTTCAAAAGGTAATTCTAAACTAAAGTTATTGCATAGAAATATGAGCCTTCATTACTACCTATTGTCATAGCAATTAAAAAATAGAGAATATAGATACATTGGGAGAAGATAAAGCAAAAAATGCAATGTATGGATGAAATGAATCAAGCAATGACAAGTAGGGGCAAAAAAGCTTTTTAGGGGTGCAAAATTAATTTTTTAGGAGGGGCAAAATGGATTTTTTACCCTCCTTTAAGTTAAAAAATTATTTTTTGAGGGGGGGCAATTGCCCCCCCTAAGTTACATAGGGTTCCGCCCTTGTAGCAAACCAACCTCCCTCACTAACACCTAGATTGATGATCCAACTAAGTCCACTATTGCTAGCTCCTTGCACCACAACCCAAACACAATCTTTTGATCTCTCTATCCTTTATTGTAATGGCTAACAAGAGAAGATACTGCTACTTTCATAATATTCATTTAAGTAGTTCATCACCTTTGCTTGGACATAAAAAAAAAAAAATCATCTAAGTTACTTCTTTTGATTAAGTGAATGCTTGAATACCTTGGAGCTAAGATGATCACAATATAGTTTTACTCTAACAGTGCTTATTGTGTATCCAGTGGTCATGGGATGGTCTCTATTAGACCGGTCCAGTGGACCAGTCCAGCCGGTCCACGCGGGACCGGCCCAGACGTGAACAGGGCGTAATTTTTCTGCCAGCTGGGATGTCACGCGAGCCGCATGTTGTGCGGGAGCTAAATAGGAAAGAATTTTGGGGGAATTAACATGGAAATTTGAATGTATGGATTGTTTAGGGAATTCATTTTGATTTGTATGCATTAAATAGTTTGTTTTCCTAGGGTTAGGGCATCTTGAATTTGGTTGAAATTTGAGATCTCTTAGATTTAGGTTTTCTTTGAGCTCTAGCGGCGTCTAGAGATTTGGGAGAGATCGATCCTCCTCTCGAATAGAGGATCAAGTGTATCTTGCTATTTTCCGTTTCGCTTTCATCAAGTAATGCAAATTATCTACTGTTTTTTGGTGAATTTGTACGGATTTTTTGTGAAGATTCTCGCTGTTTCAAAAGATTGATAGGAAATACTTGTGATCTACAAGTGTTTCCTATCAAATTGGTATCAGAACAAGTCGTGGGACCGGTGGAGGGCTATTTTCGGCTAATTTCAGCGGCGATTTTTTGCCCGGAAGGAAGGGAGATTGCTGTTTTTTGGAGTTCCAAATTTTGATTTTTTTTGTTTTTACAAACTTCGGATTGTGATGGCGGCCAAAAAAGTGAATTCTCTGGAGGAAAGGCTTGAAGGTGAAATGAATCAAATCAAAACGACGGTGGAGGAAAGGGTTTCTTCCATGGAAGGGCAAGTTGCCGATCTACGGGACATGATGAAAAAGATGTTAGAAATTAAAAACCAAACGGCGGCTTCGGTGGCGAAAAGAATGGAAGGAAAAAGTACGAATTCTAAAATTCATAGGGAGGAAGATGAGGTGGAAATCATGGAAGGAGAAGGAAGAAGACCCCATCTGGAGCCTGTCCAGAGGGAAGAAAAGCGAGGTGGATACGGGGAATGCCAGGAGGGATACTACGGTCGCCGAGGTGCTGATTTTGAAGAAAGAAAGAGGGATTTCGAAGGGGGTGGGGGCTATGTCAAAGCAAGGAAAGACCGGGAAACATGGGGCGCACCTAGCACTTGGGAGAGGGGAAACTATGGAAGGATCAGGGGAAATGGTGGCGACCAGAAGGTGAGGAAGTTGAAGATGCTCATATTTGAAGGAGAAGACGCGTATGGGTGGATTTACAAGGTAGAGCGTTACTTTGCCGTCAATGGGTTGACGGAGGAGGAGAAGCTGACAGCAGCGAGATTGTGCTTGGAGGGGAAAGCCCTGTCGTGGTTTCAGTAGAGAGATCAGAGGAGGCCGATTAGGAACTGGAGAGAATTCAAAGACTGTATAAAAGAGCATTTCCAAACTGATCAGGAAGGAGACTTCTATGAGCAGTTCTTTGCTCTGACACAGGAGGGATCAGTAGCAGATTACCAAGAGCAGTTTGGTACCTAGCCAGCAGGGTGGAGCGACTCTCAGATACAGTATTGGAGGGAAATTTTATGAAAGGGATGAAGGCGGAGATCCGAGAAGCAGTGAAGGTTTTGAAGCCCCGTGACTTAGGGGAGGCCATGAAGTTGGTCAAGCTGGTGGAAAATCAGAAGAATCTAGAGAAGGGAGCTAGGAGCAACAGCTCTAGAAGATCTTACAGGACGACGACAACTCTTCTAGCACCCAAGGGGCCTGCATCAGGCAACATTAATGAGACCACCAGGGAGAAGCCAATAGGAGGAGGGAGTGGAGAAAATTTCAAGAGGCTGACAGAGAAGGAGATGCAGGAGAGGAGGGCAAAGGGGTTGTTTTCAGGTGCGAGGAGAAATATATGCCAGGACATCCGTGCAAGGACCAAACTCTTCAGGTTCTCACCGTCTGTGATGATGACGAAACTGAGGAGGGAGGTGGGGAGGAGTAAGAGGAAGAGAGAGAGAGAGGAGAAGTTGCATTTGGATATGGCCAAGGTTCCCTTGAATTCAATAGTAGGGTTCACCTCGAATCATATGATGAAGGTGAAGGGGGAGATAGCAGGCATGGAGATGGTTATTTTGATTTACAGTGGGGCTACCCATAATTTCATTTTCACTCAGGTTGTCAATCGACTGAGAGTGAAATTGGTGGACACCGATTATTATGAGGTGATGATGGGTACAGGGAAGGTGGAGAAAGGCCAGGGGATCTGTAGAGGAGTGGTGCTGACCATCCAGGGGATTTAGGTAAGGGAAGATTTTCTCCCACTATAGTTAGGAAGTATTGATGTCATCCTGGAAATGAAATGGTTGCAAACATTGGGGGAAACCAAGGACAATTGGGGAGCACTCATGATGGATGAAAGAAAGGTAGTTATAAGAGGAGATGTAGGTCTATCCAAAGCCATTGTATCACTTAAGACCATGGTTAGGAGCCTACAAGAGGTGGGGGAAGCTTATTGGGTGGGACTACACAAGCTGAATGTGATCATAATAGAGGAGGGAGGGGATGTTTCTCTTTCAGGGCAACCCCTACTTTAGCAATTTGGTAAGGATTTTCTGCCACCTCAAGGATGGCCACCTCCATCGGAACACGAGCATATCTCCACCTTGAGGACAAGATAAATCTTCGGGACGGGAGTGTTGTTAGACCGGTACATTGGACCAGTCCAGCCGGTCCACGCGGGACCGGCCCAGACGCAAACATGGAGGAATTTTTCTGCCCGCTAGGATGCCGCGCGAGCTGCATGCCGTGCGGGAGCCAAATAGAAAAGAATTTTGGGGGAATTAAGAGGGAAATTTGAATGTAGGGATTGTTTAGGGAATTCCTTTTGATTTGTATGCATTAAATAGTTTGTTTTCCTAGGGTTGGGGCATCTTGAATTTGGCTGAAATTTGAGATCTCTTAGATTTAGGTTTTCTTTAGGCTCTAGCGGCGTCTAGAGATTTGGGAGAGATCGATCCTCCTCTCGAATAGAGGATCAAGTGTATCTTGCTAGTTTCCGTTTCGCTTTCATCAAGTAATGCAAATTATTTACTATTTTTTGGTGATTTTGTGCGGATTTTTGTGAAAATTCTCGCTGTTTTAGAAGATTGATAGGAAATACTTGTCATCTACAAGTGTTTCCTATCAGTCTCTTTGAAAAAACTTCAAAATCAAGCAAGGATGTTAAGTTGGTAGGGGTTAAAAATTTCTTTTTCAGATAATATAAAATTTTGTAGTTTATACACCTGTAAATGACCAAAAAAAGAACTGTGGTCTACAAAGAAAATGGATGACAAGCTATGTGAAACATACAAAACATCCATAAGAGAATTCAGAAGAGACGTACCACAACAGCAGCAAATGGAGCACGAGAAAAACCATTCCCAAGTTTATCCACAATGCTCCTTTCCGTGCTCTTCTTATCAACAAAGCAAAGCACAAGAACAGCAACACCTACTCCAAACTCGATTATAAGCTATATAAACATAAACAGACAAAAAAATTAGTTGAGTAAAAACTAGTTAACAGCTTAATGCAGTAAATTGTGGATAAAGTTCAATAAAACATGCAACTAAACACATACCCAAACAAGACCTGTGGCCATAAGAGATATAAATGTTATATAATTCTTCTTCCCCACACAATTATTTAGCCACTGTGACAGATGTACAAAGAGCAAGATAATGGCTAAATATTATTGTAGGCCTTTAAGAAGAAAAACATCTAGTTCTAAGAAAATAATCACCCGGCAGTGATGATCGAATCCATCAACACATTTATCACAACTTCTGCAATGCTTGCTAAATTTGCACACCTGAAAAGTAAAAGAAAAATGTAATGTGAGAGAGAGAATAAATACTGCCATGATTTACTTTCTGCAGCTCAATCAGCATTAAAGTTTAAGAGAAACTTTAAAAACAAAACACTAAAGTGAATCAGCTACTGATCCCACCGTAATAAAATGATCATTGAGCATGCTTCTTATGTTAAAAGAAAAGAGCACAAGTTTTTATTTATTTATTTTTTTTTTTAGGGGTATTTAGTAAACAATGGTCTGTTTTGCAAGCTGAAACAGGATAGTTTTATAAATATTAAATCACGTGTGAAGAAAGGAACAGGATAAATGAAGAAAAAGCCTGAAACAATTAGAGGGCGGGGAAGCAAAAAAAGTCATGTGCACATGAAGGGTGGGAGAGCAACAGAGGCAAATTGCATTACACTCACATAAGAGATTCTTTTAGATAATAATCTAAATTAGATGCAAATAGGTGACTCATAATCATCATCAAAATCATAGCCTCATCCCTACAATGGGACATGCCTAACAAATCTAAACTTTTTGAAACTCTTGCTACCTTTAAAGGTGACCAATTTGTGAGTCATTTGTACTGGATTAATCGTGGAGAAAACATTTTTCCCTAAAAAATGGCCACACATCATCATCATTTTTCGGCCACCGGCCCACCATAAATTGATCCCTATGCAGCTATGCCTCCTCAAAAGTATTGCGCCTCATATAGAACTTCAATTGGAAAGTAGTAATTTGTGACATTGGGATGCTCTCGAGCAGCAAAAATGGACACCAAGATTGTACCCTATTTGTCAAGGCTTTTCACTGGCTATAATTTGGATCCTTAAAATTTCTCAAAATTGTTCAAAATAATAAAAAAAATTAGAATTTCAAATCGTTACTACATTGGGTTCACGGCATCCACATCCTCGAATTTATATCTTTCATTCATTGAATGGAGACTTCCTTGATCGCTAGCCGCCACTAAGCCAAAATCAAACCACTAACGCTAGCCGTCATCACACCAACACTGAAGAATTCTCTAGTTACTTCCTGCGATGAACCATGAAGTTGAAGGTGACGATTGAATGCCAAAGTTGCAAGTCTCCAAAGTCAGTTCATGGAAGAAAGAGTTTGACGAGGATGATTCTTTAGTGTTGTCTCTCTTTATAGGAAAAGATATTTGAATTTGGTGGATTTAGAACATAATTATGTTAAAAGCGAGGAGGTGAAGGATGACAAAGTTTTGAGGCAAGGTTGAGCAAAAGGTAGCAGGGAATATGCAGCTTAGCAGGTTGAAATGAATCTACAACATGGGTTGTTAGTGAAGTCCAATAAGGATGGAGGTATAAGTCCAATACGGATGGTATCAATCACAAGGTAAGGCATAAGTGATGCCTGTGGATACATGATTACAGCCCAAATAGAATATATTGCAAACAAAAAAGCCAAAAAAGTGGAGATAGAATGATCATTCTCCCTTATAAGTTCATTTTAATCACACATTAAGGTGACTCGTTTCCATGTCACATAAGCCACCATTTCCTTGTTGTGCGGGAGAGGGTGTTTTCCTTTCCACCATTTTGATGATAGAGAATTAGGTTCAATCTTGTATTTAAAAATGATGAAAAAAACTATAGGGAATGAGTTGTATATTCCCCTCCTAAGAAGAGAAAAAGACTAAAATTTACAGATATGAGGCAAAGGAACATGACCTATATGACACAAGAATATCTCAAGTCTTAGAAAAAAAAAAGATATATGCATTAGAAACCACTAAATATGTTTAGTATATATAAATATATATAGAGTGAAGTGGACACACACAGATAGGCACAAATCAAAAATATTATGCACAAATCAAACATATTATCAGAAATACAAACATAAACATAGTCATTGAATCCATATTTGCATATCAAATTAATAAGAATAAAGAAAAGAAATAATAACTAGAACAATTCCAATATAGAAAAATGATATATCATAAATTATCATAACTGGTTTCAACAGTTGAAAAGTATGAAATACTTTAAATATTTTCAATTGGAATGCCATATGTGATCGACCTACCAGCTAGCATTGTTTTTTTTTTAAATTTAAGTTTGAACATTCAACATGCACATATAAATAGCATCTAGGGAAGCTTGAAGCATTCACGAGAACATGACATCAAAAGGCATACTTTCAGAAATATTGATGCTTCGTAGAATGAAATCATAAGAAATTACATATTTAATTTCAAAGTCCGGCGATGCAACCAAGCGAGCTGCATCTATTAAAGCATAGTGGCGGAAGGCTAGGATAGAGATTTCTAAAGTGGCACCTATTAAAAGCATAGTGGAGGAAGGCTAGGATAGAGATTTCTAAAGTTTCCATGAGCCCCACCCGAACCCCATCGATCTAGGTTGACCTAAGCTAGGTCAGAGTTAGAAAGGTCAGCCCATTACATGGTCGGCTCATCAATGAGATAGCATCTGATGCAAATTATTCCACAAAAGAACGTGTTTCTAACATTATATTGAAATTGTGCAGTATGCCAAAACGTAATCAAAAGTATTTATGAGAACTTTATTGGAGAGACTTTTACTAGCATAAGTTGCATTTCTCAAGATCTCTTCAGTCAAGTTAAATGAATATAATATAGATGCAATACCTCTGCATTGCACAACGTACAAAACAAGGCATCCTCGCCCCCTTGTTGCTCAGAGACATCATCTTTGCGACAATCTTCTTTTGCAAATATCACACAGATAAAGCCTCCCAAGAAGAAGCGCCAATTTGGTCTTTTAGTTTTAGTTACAGGGCCCACTGGAATATTTACATTTGGATCTCCTCCAGATGAAACTTGGCCATCAGGATTGCCATCTAATGGGCTTCTACATGTAGAAGAAGGTGGGGAAGAATGTAATCCTCTAGCACTATTTCCCAGGTGAGTTGGCAAGTTTATGCTTTGCACCCTGGGATCATTGCTTGGTCCATTGATGATCCCACTATCAAACTTTGCCATAATTCCTGGATCTGCCGGATTGATACGCGTACAACGGACATAAAGAATAAAAACTCCAATGACCTGAAATAGTATAATCAGCAAAAAGATACACAATATGCCATCAGTAACAGGCAAATAGGATCATATAAGGTATGGTACCACAAACTTATTAGTTTGGCAAGTCGCATACCACAGGAGTGTAGATGCCGATAGCAACATATTCCAAGATTTGCTTTCCCAAAAAGGGTGCGAAGAAGGCATAGAATGCAACAACCAGGAGAAAAAATACTGTGATAGCAATGACCTATAAGGAATAAAAAAAACTGAATGAATTGTGAAATCATAGAATAACCAAATAGTTCATTAAAAGAGACCTGAGCATATAAAAAGATTTAAAGAGGATGTCCCAGTCAAAAGTAAATGATTAGAATGTTAAAAGGCAGGGGAAGAAGATTCATTGAGGAAAAAAGAATGACTCCATTAGAGCCTATGGGCCAATTGTTAAGGAGGAATTTTGGTATAATTCATTGTGAGTTTCCATTTTTCTACAGTTCTTGGTGTACAATTTATACCCAAATTAATTCATAGTTTTGATATCTTGCAAGAACTTATATGTATAAGGAGTTGGTGCTACTAACTTTTGTTTTGCTAAATGAGATATGAACCCAAATTTGAAGAGTTATAAGTGATATTAGAATAGCGCGTTTCATTTAAAATTTTCAAACCAAGCGGATGCCAAGCAATTGTACAAAAAGTATTTCGCTCCAGCATTTAAGAACAAATACAATTTTTAAGATTGCATTTTTATAGGGAAGTTAAACTTATTAGTTATATAATAAAATTATGGGAGAGCAATGGAGCATAAGCTAAGAAAAATTAGGCCAATATCAAAGAATCAATTGAATTTTATGGAAGGAAGGCATATCATTGATATGGTTTGAAGATAATGTAGTTAATGAAAAAAATATAAAGAGAGCAAAAAATAGATCTCCAAGTTATCTTTTCTAATATTAAGAAGGCATACAATTGGATACAATAAGAATTAAGTCTACTTAAGGAAAGAAGGTGCTTGGCAAAGTTATGTTGAATTTATTAAATCAATCCATGCTGATATATTGATTGGTGTTAAAAGTAATTGTGAAGTGGCAAAGAAGCTCCTAAACAAAATTTGTTTGCATCAATGATCAACATTAAGATTTTATATTTTGTAAGGGATTTACATATATACCACAAAATTCTTATGCATTTATATATCTAACACTTAAATTTTTCATATTTACTTATATAGAACTATCATGTCTAAATCATATCAAAAGATATGCATGAAAATATGTATTTTACTTAAACTAATTTAATATTAATGATATTTTTATGTGATTTAAAATTTTGAATGTTATAACTAAATATAAAGATTTAAGTGTTAGATATCTAAATACATAAGAATTTGATGGTATGCTTATAAATCCCCCTGACGTCAGGCTAAGCTAGTTTCATAAGCACCTTATGTTAAAACATAGCGAAATGGCCTCTGGCTTTACATTTTGTTTGTTAGCCACAAGAACTAACCATTAACATGCTGTCTATTATTAGCTATTAAGGTAGCTGTCTTGAGGGTATAAAAAAATGGAAAAATCTTGGAAGAGAAAGTTGGTTATTTTTTTAAAGAGAATATATTGAAATGAGTTTGGAATCATTCTTTCCATTATCCTGAATGTTATCTTCATGTGGTAATTTTCAAATTTCCTGTTAGAAGCTGCCATGTTGTGGGAAGAATGGGCCCAATTGAACTCACTGAACGGCTGCACATTGTCAAATGCATCTTCGAATACAAGGGCATTCCAACATTGGGGGAAATTAGCACAATCAAATTTAAAGAGAATGTGTTGTTGTAGTGAGAAAAAAACCTGAATGAACATGAATCTGAGAAGCACAGTTTGTAATTGCGCAATACCAAGTGCACCTCAGCGCAATTCATATGCAAAACACCTCAAGCATTTAATTTGAGGTGTAGGCCTCAATTTCACTTTGGCATGTCTCACCCACAGTACTAAGGCGTAGGACTATATATATATATATACACTTAAAACCTTAAAACCTAAATACCCAACCCCACCTCAGCCGAACATTTCATAATATAAAATAGGACAATATAATAAAGGAGAATATCCTCGATAATGAGAAAGCATAAAAATGATATTAAATAATGTAGATTCCAAGCATATCTTGGGATCCCACTCTGGGCTTCATGCACCATAACCAATCCAATAAGCATAAGTTTATGATTAAAGGCCAATTACTAGTAGATCTTCACCATACTTATTTTCCAATTATTCCAACTATGGCAATCATTCCTAAACTCATCATGCCAATATCATTATGATCTTTAAATAAAATACAATAAGTAGTAATGTAGTATATCCAAGCATGAGTAACAAATTTTGATATATCTCTACGAAGAAGGCATGCAATTTTGATGCTGAAATCAACAAAATATTAAAAAACATATCTGGTTCCCACATTTTTTTGTATGAATAAGAACCTGAATAAATGGCTTCAAGAAGTTAACATGATTTTATAGTAGTTTTACATGTCAAGTGGATAATAACAATCTAGGCTTCAGATAGCCAATATTATCAGAGAGATGAAATATGAATGTTAGATTATAAGTAGAGCCCCTGACATCATAAATGTTACATTAAATAGATTGGTGCTTTCAGTAATTAATCCCTGCTCATCGCAAATGGAATGAAAACACAAGCAGGTATAGAATATGAAAAAATATATAAACCCTAAGAAGATAATGTTAGTTAACCAAATAATGATAAAAAGTATGTGCCACAAAGTCAATCATGAGAAGGTGGGATGATAAATTAGCATCTTAAAGTGAAAAGAAACTTTGAAAAAGGCCAATATACAAACAAAAGCTGTGATTTTTTTTTTTTTTTTTGCAAAGAGCTCACTATACAATTCATGTTTGAGGTTGTAAATAAGTGATAATGCAAAATGAGGGAAGTCCAAAACTTAACCAATTTTCATCACCAAAAACTCATTTACAGCTTAAATTGAAGGTAGTTATCCATGAAACATTTTATTATAGTTAAAGTGAACAGAATTATTCCTTAAGTGCACAAGTTCATAGCTACAAAAAAAGAAGAACTATTATAATAGTGGAGCTAGAAAAATAACATGAAGGTATTGAAAGAAGAAAAAAAAATCTTTTCAGAATGAATGACATAAATAATATTCAAAAAGTCAAAAAATAGTAATACCTAGAGACTCAAAATTTAGCATAGGAATTATGAATTAATAAAAATAAAATTTCAACTGAGCAAATATAGGCCCCAATATTACAGTAAATAGAGGAAATTGGTAAGTCCAATCTGCTTGATATGAATTTTTTATTCATTTGTCCCTCGAACACAAGAAGTATAAAACTGTTCTGAAAGAGGCACGATAACAAAAATAGTTGGTATGAAAGGCCACTGAGCAGGGAAAATGAGCAAATAACACAGTTCATGGTGGTCCCCTGTGTTCTCAACATCATTACCATTAGTTAGAGCTTTCCTTCAACTTATTCTATTACATTTTCCTCTAAATTGTTCGGGAAAGATAGGGTTGTGTGGTGGCAATTAATCTGCATGCCCACTTGACGAATTTAACAGAATTCATATCCCAGCAAAGTTTATACGACATTAAGAAAAAGAGACGTTAAAATATAAATGCTTTGAAGAAAACCCAAAAACAATGGAAATTACAGTAGTTCTGCCCCACTAAGCTTTAAAAGCAATCCAAAAGATTGAAAAGGTTTACTAAAACTGGATAGCCAAATAAGATTCAAGTAGAGCATCAAAAGGCAAACGCACCGAATCTCATCAACAAATCGGCACAAGTAGTTGAATAGGAACGAATCCCACGGGAATAGAAGCTTGCCAAATAAGCTCAACGATAAGGGGATCGCAAATGAGTAATTATATCCAAAAAAGGAAACACAGAAACAGAAACCTCCCAAAATAACTAAAAATTACTGGTCTTTATTAGACTTGCTTTTTTCACTTAACTGACGCAGTGCAGCTCACACCGTTCGGATTAATCATAGAATACAGAAGTGCGATCAATGAAATAAACAGAAAAATTCTACACGAAAAAAACATCAAGCAACAACGCGTTTACTCTCAGAACTACACAGCCACAAAATATACAAAATCTAAAGCTGCGCTGGTGCGAGTTATTCGCAAGCAAGGAAAAACCAGAGAGCAATTTCCTCGATTCGACTCATGCAGAAATCACTCCCCGTTCAAAGATGGCATCTAAGGCACGCGTGAAGCTCTAGAGTGTTAGAGTACCTGAAAGGTGTGAGCTGGCAACTGCCAGCCATGTTTCCTCACCATGACTCCTGTTAGTTCACAGCATCAAGAAGAGGGGGAAAGAGAAAAGGGGAGCAGAGAAGAGAGGGAGAAGGTGAAATGCATCAGGTGAGTAGAGGTTGAAAAACCAAGCAAAGAGACAAAAGTTCGGGAGGAGAAAGAAACGGATTTGGCTTTATCTGGGTTGAAAACCTAGAATCCCTTCTCCGGCTCGTCTTCCATGGTAAGTAGTGCGAATGGCATGGGAGAGGAGCAAGGGGGTTAGGTTTCGATTCCAGTGATTTCTACCTGGACTCACTCGAGAGTTAAACTCCGTAACAAAGTAAGAAAAATCTCCAAAATCTCCTTTTTTTTACCTCACTTGTGAGAGAAATAATGAGAACCTAAGCTCATTGAAAGCCGCAGCAGTTGAAGCTTAAATTTTTTAAATTTTCATGCTAAAAAGTTATTTTAATAAACAATAATAAAATTATTTTAAATAAAATCTTAGATTTCATTTAGGCCGATTTTTTTATCATTTCTTAGTAAAAAATTGCTTTAAAAAATATTAATAAAGCTGTCTCAAATCAAATATGAAGTTTCGTTTGAGACATCATTTTTGTAGTTTCTTAAAACAACTTTTAAGTAAAAAAAAATCTACTAAAATGTTGCTTTGAGAAATAACAAGAAAGCCGTCCCAAACATAAAATGTATTTGATATCTTTAAAATTTATTATTTTAATTTATTAATAAGATGGTAACAACAATTACCGAGGGAGCAATAGCCGTAGTTGCTACGATAATACAATAGTGGCAGTTGCTGGTGGTGGTCGCGGATAATAAGTAATGGTGGCAAAGGCGGTGATAGTCATCAGTGATAATAATGTTTAAATTAAAAATGCTTAAAATATATTAAAAAATCACTTTTTTAGAACTAAAAAATTAATAAAAAAGAGAAAAAAAAATCCAATAATTTTAGTAAAACAAGATAGTGGCTAAAAGGTGGGCCACGCAGATCCTTCCTACATTCTCCAAATTGCATCCAACAGTTATTTTGGACAACGATTTTGATGTGCTAATTAGTGAGGTCTTTTCATGTTTTCTTTTGCATATTATTTTAATCAATTATATAAACTTTTTGTTTGGTTTTTTAATTAAGACAAGAAGAATATTAATTAAGCATTGATGATTAATTTAGGTGATATTTAAGACCTTATTTAAATTTTTAATCAATTTAATAAATTATTTTGGGTATTTTTTAATAAATTAAACTATTTTTGCAAAAAAAAAAACAAACTTAAAATAATATTTCGATATTTATTTTAATAAAATATCATCAACCAAGCCACTCATCATCATCAACTTATGCAATATCAATAAAATAAAAATAATATTTATCTAGAATATCAAATATATTTATATTTCATGTTAAAATAAAAATAATAAAATAAAATAAATTGATTCCATAAATTGGTCCTTAGCTTTGATTAGGGTATTTTCAGTTATTTTTTGGTGGAAAAATTAGTTAATAAAAATGATATCAATTAATTTAAAAGATAGTTTTTAAACAAAATTTTAAATTTTATTTTGAAAAAGTTAATTTTAAGAAATCATAATACAATTTGGGAAAGAAAAAAAAATATTTTTACAATAAAATTTAAAAAAGTAACTAAAAAAGAATATTTTGTACCAAATTTGAACTTTAAGACACATTAGAACACTAATACAATATTATTTTATTTAGTAGCATGGCTGTTTTGTGCATCAAGTGAATTTATAAGCATAAAACTTTAAAATACTAAAATGAGTTTTTAATCTTGAGGTTTATACATTCAAAATTATAAAATTTACATATTTAACATATAAATTTTGCTATTTATATAACATAGCATCTCATTAACTAAGAAGTCACAACGGATCTCACTGAGGGCAACTCAAATGGAACGGCAAACACTTGTTTGTCGTTCTTGCTTCGCTCCAACCGAGCGCCATTTTTGACGTCATTTGATAGCGGATGAATAGTGCAACGCCTATTCATCTGTGTCATTCTTTTATCTCTACCAAACTTTGGGAAAAAGGTGCGAATGAAGAGAATGACGGTTTACGGGGCAAAATGGCGTTCCATTGGAGATGAATCACGGTAATTTTTGGTTTCACTGCATTTTGGAGTGAAAAATGAGATTTTCGGTTGAAGATGCCCTGAACACTAGGAAGTCATGATGGGATTTCACTACTAAGGATGCCCACACGCAACTCGTATGAACTATTTAGCTCTTACATTTAACTTTGTCTACTGCACTCTCGTTTTCTCTCAACCTTCTCTCCCTTGTGCTCATACCTGCAAACCATCAATAATAAAAGAAGCAAGAAAGTCACCATAATAGCTTGTTGTTGAAGGTATTTGCGAGATCCGTGGCATGTGAACGAGAAGTATCGTTCTATGCTTGTTGGCGAAGGCACCCGTAGAATTGTGACACGTGAATAAGAAGAAGAGTTTGTGAGATAACCACTTATAAATCGAATACTTAAGCCATCGTCACCATGAATTTCATTGTTGCTAACCTCTGATTGAACTGTAATAGGGACGATGAGGAGCATGCTATTTAAAATTATGAGTATTATGAATAAAAATAGTAAAATTTAGACGTTAAACATGAATATGTTTTAATATTGAGTGCCATGCATGTATATAAATCCTAATTTCACTGCAATGAAAATTATATTCTATAAAATTAGAGTCTTTTATGCCCTCTCAATTGCTATGCATTTTTATTTATGTAGGAGGTAACATTAATTAGCTTTTTACCAATTATATATATATATATAAAGTTGCACAAATTTAAAAAAAAAAATCATATGAAAAAGAATGAGGAAAAGAAATCCATGGGGCCTCATCCAAGCATGACAAATTCATTGATCTTTATTTAAAATTATAGAAGTTTTCCATTTGTAGTATTTAATAATGACGATGATATAGTATAAAAAATTAGTTGAATAGCATCTTAGTGGTGATAATGGCGAAGAAGAATGCATGGCAGATTTATGATAAATTAATAATAATATGGACGAAGAGCGACAATAGACGTTTAGTGTAGAATACTAATAAATGTTGTTCAACTAACCAACTAAATGATGTCAGTCGACCAAAATATATTTTATGAGATGCTTATCACAAAAAGTTAGATGTTGGGCAACACTGATCCATGAGTTTTCCCATGTACGTAAGGGCATCTCCAATCGAGAATGCGATTTTTCACGGCAAAATATAGCAAAACTCCAAAATGCCGTAATTCTGCTCCAATCGAACTCCATTTTAGGTGCTTCTGTGAAGGTAACGATCCTTCTTCTCCCCTTTCGCTCATTTTTTCGCCAAATCCGATTCAGAGAGCAAAATATCGTTGGTGAACAGTGCAACACTAATATTGATGTCGCACTAGTTCACCCGCAAGTAAAGGGCAGAAGATTTGACATTCGGCTGGAGCAACTGAACGACGCCATACGCAAGTTTGGCATTCGGTTGGAGATGCTCTAAGTGAATATTGTAGATAATGAGCGTTAGAAGGTGGTCAACTTGACACATCTCCCTACAGGAAGAGGAATATACAGAATCCGAACTCGAAGGTCTGATCCAGACGAGCGAGGGCACGAAGCATCACGCGAAGTTGTGACTCAAACGAGAAGGATGGGAGGCACCTTGATTGGCACGACAAGCATGCGGGGCTAGGCCACCGTGTGGGGCGAGGGCGAGGCCAACCCGTGTGGGACCGTAGGTGCGACTGCAAGGCCGGCATGTGAGGTCAAGCAATTGAGCTGCAAGCTTGCCAAGTGGAACACGGACACCATATGTGGGCACGAAGGGGGTAAAACTCAAGTTGATTTTGGGTTTTCGGGTCAACCCGAACCCGACCTGATTTTACAAATAGTTTGAAGATTTTATTATTGTCCTTACAAGTTGCAAGAGAGGGGCCGGCATAACATTGTGCATAAATGATCAATAAACATTAGAGGTTTATGTTGACTGACATTAGTATTTATATATGATCTGCTAGGTCATTCTCCTCAGAAATGAGAGATTGTGCGACTCTATGATAAGTTCCATATTGAGATCTCTTAAGAGATTAGTGGTTGGTTGCCTTGATGATTTCGAATGCTATGTTTATTGCATTATTTTTATTTTATTAAAAAAAAATGTGCCCAAATTAAATACCATACCCCAAACATAATAAATTTAATCATTAAAAAATTTGTCCATCCTTACAAAAAGTTAATTAATTTATTTTCTATTAAATATCAAGAGCAAAACATTATCAAATCATACAAAGCTTGTAATGATCAGTGTGCAATCAATGATTCCCACTTAAAAGAAAATATTTCTGAATTGTTTACTAAAAATGATAAGATAAATCAAAGATGAGTATGACAAACAAACTACTAAATTTCTTCTTGAACCTGCCGGCCAATTAATTAATGTAGATCTGTCTCATTATCTAAAAGCACATTTCTTAATTATTTATTTGAGAAGTTAATTAACATGGCAATAGATGAGGATGAGAGAAATTACATGCGATAATTTGACTATTATATTACTAATTATCAAATTAATAACTAAGAGTCTCTTCGTGGAAAAATTATTACGTCCGGATAAAATACCGAGCATACCGAGTGTACCGAGTTCGGTACCGAGTGTTGTACCGAGCACGGTACCGAGCACTTGAGCTAGTGACGTGACGCTTTGTTATTCATCTCTAGATGCATACGGTGTCCGGAAACAATAATTACTCCTCTTTGTGACAGCTACATCGTTTTAAAAAATTGGTTGTGAAGCTATATATTGTAGTGAAAACAACTTCGCTATTACGGAAATAATTTTTTATCACAGAAATTTATGAAAAGTAGTACTAAACAAAAATATGTTAAAGCAGTAAAAAAGCTATTCCAAATAGACCTTCAGTCAGGCGATTTATTTTTTTGAGGAAGACAAGTATTTTTTCTTGCATTGAAGGTATTTTGCCTTCTCTGTTCAATTTTATAATATTAGATCAAACAATACTAAGACCTTCAATATTCAAATTACAAACCTTTGCCTTTCATCCATCCCCTCATCATTGAAAAAAGTAACTAATTTATTTCAAAGAAATGCATTTGAAATCATTAATATCACTAATATAAATCTTAAAAATATTTATTATAAAAAATCAAAATTCTAATAAAATAAAACCACAAGACTAATAAAATTATCAAAATTAAAACTTAAATAATAAGACCAAAATCTAAAAAAAAAGAAAAGAAAAAGATATCAAACTTAAATATGTAACATAAGGATTGACTTAATTATATCT